TAGAGAGGTTTCAAGGCAGATCAGGAAACGACAGGGCAAACAAAATGAGTTTGAAGTCGGCGAGATCATGATATGCAGAGAGTATAGGAAGACAAAAACCTAAAAGTTAAATGTGAATTTTAGGTATGAGATAATTAATATTTCCGATCCTTGGATTACCATTGCTAATATCAAAACACGAGAAGAGATTACGCTAAATATTGGTATCTTGAGAAGTCATTTTATCTTTGCCTTCTGTTATACTTGTCATTCTGTTCAGGGGTGTTCCATTGATGACGATGTCGTGATATTTGACTGGAACCACCATCTGATAACTCGCGAGTTTTTATGGACTGCAATCACTCGTGCCAGGGATTTGAACAGGGTCAAGTTTTACAAATACAGTAGTGATTTAAATGAAGAGTTTAACGCAAAATGCATTATGAATTATTTTGATAGAAAGGTGTTAGCATACAAGGAACAGGATAGGAAAAACAAATTTGAGATCCCAAAAGACAATTATGTGGATGCCGAATGGTTGAAGGACAATGTCAACGGAAAGTGTGCAAATTGTGGCTGTGGCTTCGTGTTGTCAATGGATTCTGGCAATATAAACTCTAATTTGACATGTCAAAGGTTGTGCAATGATCTTCCCCATACAAAGGATAATGTCATTGCCTTCTGTGCTTCTTGTAATAGATGCTTCAGTGATAAAATAACATATTGATATTTATTTTATAGTATTATACATATGAGTGAAAAAGACAAGATAATCAGTGAGGTCTACTACGATCAGGCTGGGTTTGGTAGCATCGCCACCACTTACAAAGATGCAAAAAAGAAAGATGCATCCATAACAATGCAAGATGTCAAGGAGTGGTTTCAAGAGAACGTGGAACGGAAAAAACAACTGTCTGGATACAATTCGTTTATTGCCCCTGATATCAACTTTGAATATCAATTTGATCTGTTTTTTATATCAAAAAATGATTTAGATAATCAAAAATATAGGATAGGCTTATTGCTTATTGATGTATTTTCCCGCAAAGCCGTGGTGGTGCCTATTGCATCCAAGCAACCTGCTGACATCACGGCTGGGATCATGGAGGCATTAAACAAAATGGGAGGGAAACCCAAATTAATTTATTCGGATGACGAGGGGAGTCTCAATACCCAAGATCTTGTCAATTTTTTCAAGGACGAAGGGATCCAAAACTATAAAACACGAGGGCGCCCCCATTTCGCCGAGCGTTTCATTCGCACGTTCAAGGACATGCTTTTCAAGAGGGTTGATGCAGACGAGAAAAAGGGAAAGGTTAATATACAATGGGTTGATTACATCCCCGAGATCATGCTGACATACAACAGTAAAATGGTTCATTCTGCCCACGATATGACTCCAAACGATGCCCACAAAAAGGGAAACCATCTTGAGGTCAAGATGAAGCTTGAGATGAACAGAATCAAAACCCGGAAATATCCCCCTGTTAGGGTTGGCGATGAGGTCAAAATATACCGCAAAAAAGGGATTTCCGAGAAAGAAAGAACGAGTTCATGGTCAGCAAACAAGTTCACAATTGAAAGGATTGAGCGAAAACTTGGACAAGACTATTATTATGTCCAAGGTGTGACTCGTGCTTATTTGAGATCGGAAATTCTGAAGGTTTGAAAAATAATATGTAAACGGTTCTAATAGCTGATGAATCTATTAGAACTGTTTAGTGGGACAGGGGTCGGTCGGCCGCATCGCCCGCGATCTGGGGTTCAATGTCATTTCACTGGATTTGAAAAATGCTGATATAAATACTGATATTTTGAAATGGGATTATAAACAATTTGATAGGAACCATTTTGATTTTATTTGGAGTAGTCCCCCATGCACTGAATACAGCATAGCAAAAACTAGGGGAATAAGAAACATTGAATATGCTAATAGTATAGTTTTAAAAACTATTGAAATTATCAAATATTTCAATCCTAAGTATTTTGTAATCGAAAATCCTCAAACTGGATTATTAAAAAATCAGGAGTTTATGGATGAGTTTGATTTTAAAGATGTAGATTATTGTAAATATGGAATGCCTTACAGAAAACGCACTAGGCTCTGGAATAACATTACAACATGGAAACCTAGAGATTTATGTAAAAAGGATTGTGGCAACATCAGGAATAATAAACATATTGAAACTGCGCAGAGACTGCCAAATGAAAACAAGGAAAAATGGGGAGACAATCCAAAAATACATAAGCAGGAAGACCTATATAAAATACCTAGTAGTTTAATCAGTGAAATTTTGGTGAGTTTGGTTGGTTAAATAATTTGGGGCTGACCACTGCCGGAAAAAGCCCCTTTTTTAACATACACCGCTTTTGGTGTATGCGTACACCGCTTTTGGTGTATGCGTACACCGCTTTTGGTGTATGCGTACACCGCTTTTGGTGTATGCGTACACCGCTTTTGGTGTATGCGTACACCGCTTTTGGTGTATGGTGTTTGTGATAATATTTGTCAATGTATGATATGTGATAATTGCAATAAAATTATAAACGAAATTGATGATATGAATAGCAAATATATTAATACTAGAAATGTTAAAAATATTGATGAAGATTTAGAAATATTTGTGTTTATTAAAATGAATAAGTTCTTGACTGAAGAAGAGTTTGGACATTTATTATATAAGGGCGATGAGGAAGGAAATGATAATGATTCTATTTTTAAGTATTATAATCTGGTAAAAAGATTATATGGTATGTCTTTTAATATTAGGCGTTTAATGAAAGAAGCATTGAATGATAATGACTTTGATTTTTTAAGTTGTGAGTATGATGTAGATGAACTTAGTTATACAGTAACACATGCAATTAGAACAATGGGCTTGTTTAAAAAGGAAATAGGAAATAATATATATAATGAAAAAACAGCTGATAAAATAATAAAAAGAATTGAAGAATCATTTTATAATGAATTATAATAAAGTTGAACTCATAATATAATTATAACATGTAAACATTTATATGTTATAATTATAGTGTAATTTTCCCGCATAAGCCGTGGGGGTGCTTTCCTACATAGGCCTTTCCCATCCGCATTTTGCCATCCATATTTTACTGGGATTGTTTTCAAGATTTGGGTTAACGGTTTTAATTCTCCCTTTTCCATTGGTTAACCATTTTTCGGGGAGTGATAATCGACAATGTGTTATTTGGATGGGAAAGATTGGGTTTATTCATTTTTTAGGTATGTAATCTTGAAAGATCATTTAAGGACATGTATTCATAGCATAATATGGAGAACTCAGAGTGTAGCAGTTGTAGAGTCAATAAACCAATTACTGAATTTAACGGGTTCAAGACATGTAATAAATGTAGAGCGAAGAAGCGAGAGAGGACAGCGAATAATGGATATTTGTATTGTCATGTTTGTGAAAGAAGAGTGAACCCAGAGATTTGGGATTTCCATTTGGTTGGAGGTTGTCACCAAGATAATATGCTCAAACATCTCAAAGCAGATTATCAGAGATTAGTTGAAGACGCACCTACACAAGAATTCAAGGACAATTTTTTTCAAGAAGGTCAAGAGAGGATACAAGAACTCAAAATGACAATGCCTTTGTATAATCCAGCTTTGAGAAGAAAGAAAGTTGATCAGGTTGATGGTGAATTGGACTAAAACATGAAGTTGATCATTAGAATATTATGTTTCTAATGATTAACTTAGAGGGTTGTTCAATTTGGTGGTTTTGAATGGTGTAATTTGATAGGTGTATTTAAAAAATGCTTGAAAGTGTGGGGGGGGGGTAGGACAATGCGGACGGGAGAGGCCATCTCTAACTCCCTGACCCCCTCACCGGCCGACGGGTCTGGTGGCGGCCATTGATTGTTGGGGCTTTGCCTTACTAGGATTTGCAGGAAGTCCATACGGGCTGTGCAAAACTGACCAATAAGGTCAACTCCACTGAAATTTCCTTACCAACCTGAATCCAACCGGGTTCTGATTGTGACTCACCTGAGTGAACCTCTCCCAATCCCTTCAGCTGGGCACACGGCATGCCGGCACCCATGATCTTTTTCTCCATCTCGAGCTTCTCAGCACAGCGGCTCTCCATGTGGTGCTCGACCTGACTCAAAGCACCCCTCGTCGCCGAGAGTCTACCGTGGCCGCGTGCCCCCTCCATGGCTCAATCGCCCTCTTGTTCCCCATCGTGCGGCTTCTGGAACGTTGCATGTGGCATGGGTTTGGTATACAGCCGACCCTTGAACCTCTAGATAATCCAGTATCAAATGAGCAGCGAGACTTATCTTTTGGTTCTACCAAGATGATTCTAAAAGGTTACCGAGGCTTTGGTACAACCCTTTTCAAGCCAAGTAGAACCGCCTCCAAGAATGGCGATGGGTTTTGAGGGCTCAAATGAATATCTTCCCGTACGTGTTGGCCTCCTTTTGGCCTGGTTGTGTCCGCTTTAACACAAGCTGATAACCAAAGCTGCAATGTAACAACCGAATGAGTGGCAAAAGGCGTCCAAATGCTTGGTGTCCTCTCAAAACCCACCCCCAATGACAGCACATTTGACAGTCGCTTGGGTTTCTCTCCAAATGGAGACAAGACCCCCCCCCCCAAAAAAAAAAAAGAGGAAGAACTGCACCCCACCAACATCCAGATTGTCCGTCTTTGAACTAACCCCCCAAACAAAATGTTTTGCCCTCGGACCAAGCGATACCAAGCTTCCCCAAAAAAACCTGACCTCTCTCAGCTCCGTGCCGCGCAGTCGGCGAGCAACCGAACCTGAACCCCAGCCAGCGGATTTCGCCCAAAGAGAAACCCAGGGGTTCTAGTCTACCTTGGGTAAACTGAAATGGAATCCTGAAGAGAGGATTCGTGTTGCTCGCCCCAAGCTGCTCGCCCGTGCCAACAGGTCTTCATGCTGTGCCAAGCCTTATCCTGCCAGAGAGCTATGAGCTGAAACCAAACATGTGGCTCGAGAAGTCCGCTCACACTTGGACATCCTGGGTGGCGGCACCACACGCACTTCCCGCGTCTGGCCAACGCGATGCACCCGCGCAATGGCCTGCCAAGCACCGGACACCGGTCCACGAGACCGAAAGACGGGCGGCCTTGACCCAGTGAACAAGAAGCTTGGAGCAAGTCCCCGCAGTCCCCAAATTGCCCTCGAAACACATGGATCTTAGATTCAATTCTCTTCAGAACCCTTCTCTCAGGGAGACTCTCCATCTCAATATCTCAATGGCGCCTGCTTGTCGTTCTGCGGGTTCCAGTCCAAATCGCAAAGAATCACGGTGTCGGCCTGCCAGGGCCCTCGAAGCCTCGAAGCCGCCAGCCACGACCGGCCCATCCATCCTGCCTGCTGCAAGTTCAGGCCCAAACCGCCGGCTCTGGAGGACCTGCGCTATGGCGGGCCAAAAACATGTCCAAAATGGCACCTTGGGAAATGAAAAAGACGTAAACCTGAGTAAGCCTAGCTCTTAGAGTCTTAGACGTTGAGCCACACCCAAAATGTTCGGCTTGGAACACCGCCTTCAACCTGCCCCGAGGGCTCTCAACTCACGTCTGCGACGTGACTCCCCGCGTGCCGCGTGTCTGAGTGTCCGACAAAAGGAAGATCGGCACGTCGGGATGCTCGAAACGCTTCAAGCGCTCCCGGCGCTCGTGGAAGGAGACCTGTGCTGAGATGCCGCGATCGGCTCCATGTGAAGCTGATCGAGTGGCAGTACAATTTGGGACACATGCGACGGCACACTAGTCACTCAACAGCTCGTGCATGCGTGTCTCCACTTTGGCACCCTTCAGCTATTCAGCTCTGATAGCAAGACTGGCCTGACCATCTAGGCGGACGAAGGCCAGCTCTTTCCAACGCAAGTAATCCTGGGCGTAATGCGCTGAATCGATCGCGCGCCTCACAGAAGGCAATCCTGGATTGCGATGAAAGTCTAAGTCTCGATTCGAGGTCTCGGGGTATGACACGGACGCCGATTCATACCAAGGTCTCAAGCACCCAAGCAAAACACGCATCAACCCAGGGCACGCGCTCCCAAACCCACAGAAACCCCCCCACCTAACAAGCAATCTGGCACGTCCCCAAACTTCGGCAGTGCAACACGCTCGAAACCTCCAGGATGTTCAGGAAGCTGGTGAACTGAGAGAAGATCAGAACCTGCCAAGCTGCGCACCCCTGGGGATCTTGGGTGCACGTCTCCAAGCCTCCCAATCGAGGAAACACGAGCAGGACATCTGGCACAGGCCTTGTGCTTGAAACGCAGAAGCTTGGCCAGAATGCGGTCAAGAGCTTCGACCTGCGTTTGGCGCAAGCTGTCTCGTTTTAGCGCTGTCGGGAGTTGCGATCAGGCAGCCACGCAACCAGCTGAGACTCCGTTTCTGCCCACGAGCGCGCAGGTGCACTGCTTGGCATTGGGAAGTGCGGCCCGAAGACAAAGCAGTTCTCGCAAGGCAAGTGCCGTGAACAGCGATTGCAAGAAATGACGCTAAAGGTGAACCAACGATCGGAAGCTCTTCAACTTGGCCCCCAAAAGCCTTGAGCTTGTCCTTCAGCAAATCGTTGTCTTCCCCAAGCTCTCAAACTGTCTCGCTCTCAATCCTTCAGCAAATCGTTGTCTTCCCCAAGCTCTCAAACTGTCTCGCTCTCAATCCTTCAGCAAATCCTTCACCAACTGTCTCGTTCTCAATCCTTCACCAAATCGTTGTCTTCCACAAGCTCTCGAAGTGTCTCGCTCTCAATATGATCTTGGTCCAGTTCCCCAAAAGCCCTGAGCTTGTCCTTCAGCAAATCGTTGTTCAAACTGTCTCGCTCTCAATCATTCAGCAAATCGTTGTCTTCCCCAAGCTCTCAAACTGTCTCTCTCTCTCTCAATCCTTCAGCAAATCGTTGTCTTCCCCAAGCTCTCAAACTGTCTCGCTCTCAATCCTTCAGCAAATCGGTGTCTTCCACAAGCTCTCGAACTGTCTCGTTCTCAATCCTTCACCAAATCGTTGTCTTCCACAAGCTCTCGAAGTGTCTCGCTCTCAATATGATCTTGGTCCAGTTCCCCAAAAGCCCTCAGCTTGTCCTTCAGCAAATCGTTGTCTTGCCCAAGCTCTCAAACTGTCTCGCTCTCAATCATTCAGCAAATCGTTGTCTTCCCCAAGCCCTCAAACTGTCTCTCTCTCTCTCTCTCAATCCTTCAGCAAATCGTTGTCTTCCCCAAGCTCTCAAACTGTCTCGCTCGCAATCCTTCAGCAAATCGTTGTCTTCCACAAGCTCTCGAACTGTCTCGACTCATATTGAGATTGGTCCAATTCCCCAAAAGCCCTGAGCTTGTCCTTCAGCAAATCGTTGTTTTCCGCAAGCTGTCTCGCTCTCAATCCTTCAGCAAATCGTTGTCTTCCACAAGCTCTCGAAGTGTCTCGCCCTCACTATAATCTTGATCCAATTCCCCAAAATCCTTGAACTTATCCTTCAGCAAATCGTTGTCTTCCCCAAGCTCTCAAACTGTCTCGCTCTCAATCCTTTAGCAAATCGTCAAGCTCTCGAAGTGTCTCGCTCTCAATATAGTCTTGGTCCAATTCCCCAAAGGCCTTGAGCTTGTCCTTCAGCAGATCGTTGTCTCCCCAAGCTCTCAAACTGTCTCGCTCTCAATCCTTCAGCAAATCGTTGTTTTGCACAAGCTCTCGAAGTGTCTCGCTCTCAATATGATCTTGGTCCAATTCCCCAAAGGCCTTGAGCTTGTCCTTCAGCAAATCGTTGTCTTCAACAAGCTCTCAAATTGTCTCGCTCTCAACATGATCTTGGTCCAATTCCCCAAAGGCGTTGAGCTTGTCCTTCAGCAAATCGTTGTCTTCCCCAAGCTTTCAAACTATCTCACTCTCAATCCTTCAGCAAATCGTTGTCTTCCACAAGCTCTCGAAGTGTCTCGCTCTCAATATGATCTTGGTCCAATTCCCCAAAGGCCTTAAGCTTGTCTCTCGAAGTGTCTCGCTCTTATGATCTTGCTCCATTTCCCCAAAGGCCTTGAGCTTGTCCTTCAGCAAATTGTTTGTCTTGACCAAGATCTCAAACTGTCTCGCTCTCAATCCTTCAGCAAATTGTTGTTGCTGCGCGTGATGGCAACATGATAAGAGCACATGTTCCAGCGCATTCACGGTTGTCGTGGAGTAATGGCAACATGATAAGAGCACGTTCCAGCACGTTCAGGGTTGTCACTCGCATGATGGCAACATGATGAGAACGCCTGAGTGCATTTGTTACAGGCTGAATATAGCATATGTCCTAAAACAACTTGCGAACTCGACGCAAGTGGCATGTCAATGATAAGGGCGCATTCTAAGGCAATGGGGTCAAGTAGCCTTGGAGGATGTTGTACCTCAAAAAACAGGGGAACGCGTGTATATTCGAGAGGGGGTCGTGGACACAAAGCCGCTTTGACTGGAAAGGTTGTTACTTTTCGTTGTAAAACGACTAACCCCCCCCCTCATGTCTCAGGCTCGTGCACAAAACCCTCATTGCGATCTTGCGTCACCTTTCTTGGGCGTGGCTTCTGGCCTGAGCCTTATCTTTTGAACCTCTCGTTTGGCCCTGCCCGAGCGGAGACTTTCCAAGCGGCCTTTCCGATTCAGCTCAACTGGCATGTGACACCGTCCGCACAAACATGGAGCTGGTTGAGCTTTGGCTTCGAGGCGCTTGAAGGCCAAAAGGGCCGGATCGCCGCGGCCAAGCTGAGCGCGCCTTGCCGGAGACCCGGAAGAGGTTGCGGTCGCGGGGATAATCATCTTGAAAGAGGTACCTCAAGCGCATGCTCTGGGCCACCGCGTCCCAGCTAAGAGACCCTCCGCTCAGATGGGTCGCACGGGTGCAGCGCGATCTTGCGAAGCTGCATGAGCGCATTGTTCACCTGTCAAGAAGCGTTGCGGCAATTCACCGACGGGCCGCGTCAGCTTGCAACCCAATATTGAGCTTGGAGGATAGAGTGCCACGCAGGACCTGCGGTGGCAATAGTAGTGGCAGCAGTATTAGTAATCAAAGGATTCTGCAAGAGTGCATGCGCTTGCGATGGTCTTCTGAATCCACACACTGCGCGCGACAAAGCTCAGAAAAAGCGGGAAAACGCAAGCAAATTGGCGGCGGGCTGAAAAAACGCGGCTCGCCTGCTAAAGTCGGCTCACCCGGCAACCACCACTTAGATACGGCCGGGCGCACTGCTGCGCAGTCTTCAATCGGTGAACCCTCTGCACACTTTGGGCGGGGCGACCTTCAAAACTCATGGCTGTTGACGCTTTCTCTTCGCTTGCGCAACCCTCTGCGGACTTTCAGGCTCACCTTCAAAATATGTTTGTCACTTCGCTTGTGCAACCCTCCGCGGACTTTCGGAGGGTTGACCTTCAAAACCTCGTGATGTTTTCGCTTCGCCATTCGGCTGGTCGACCTTCAAAAACTCTTGTGTTTTTGCGCTTGTCACTTGTTGATCACCCAGCCCCCTGCGGACTCTAGAGAAGTCGACCTTCAAAGAAACTCGCGCTTTCTCCGCGCAAAAAATATCAAACGTTTAGCCCTCTGCAGACTTTCGGTGGGTCGACCTCAAGAAACTCCTCTGACGATGGCTGCCAGAGGCACTGACCTCCTGCTGCGCCGGCAAAGACGGCAGAGGTGGAGAAACGGGGAGAAAGGCGTGCTCTAAACTCTCGGCGGACTTTCGTCAGGTGAGAAAACGAGAGAGACAGACAGAGGAAACAAAGGAAGAGCAAAAGAAGAAAGACAACGAGAGAGAGAGAGAGAGAGACAGAAAGAAAGAATGAAAGAAAAACGGCAAGAGAAACGAAAGAGAAACAAAAGGAAAAAGGAGGAAAGAGGAAAGAGAAAAGAGAAAAGATAAAATAGAAAAGAAAAATGAGAGAAGAGAAAAGAGAAGGAAAGAAGAAGGAGAGAAGAGAGAGGAGAGAAGAGCACGAGACAGAGAGAAGGGTCAAACAACCAAGGTTCAAACTATAGTTATGTCTTGAAACTTCCGACCCCCAGCTCTGCCGGACTTTGCTGGTAACCATGACAAGTGCGTAACATGACATAGCATCATGGTTTCTTGTCGACACTATCGTTCTGGAAAGTGATTCAGTGCCATTGCCGAGCCTGTTCGCTGCAAATCTGGTCGTCTTCCATCCACCTGATGGTTTTCTTCTTGAGGTCAGCATACCTCAGCATGTCAAAACAGTCATGCTTACCGACCTGTAAGCCAATCAATCCACCTTCGGCTTTCTTGGGGGTGTTCTTCTGGGGTTGATTTAGAGGGAAGCTATGGAGAAACCTGGGTTCCCCATTTAGAGACAATCTCAAACGGGACCCCAATTGAAGCTGGTGATCCTTCGTACGTCCTGAGACCCCGGCGCTTCACTCTGACACGCGCTCAAAGGCACCCTCACCGTGACCTGGCTTTTGACTAAGGCCAACAAGAAGCATCACTTCAATACATTGACATATCCAAGCCGGAGGCCACATAATCGCTGCAAGCCAAGCATTGCGCGCACTTTTGCCTCTCAATTTCCAAGGCTCACTAAGACTCACGGCTCAAGGCGAAAACTGCACGTCCTTGAGCCTACTTGGCTTGCTTGGCGGCCTTACGATCACCGCGGGTCACCGCGTGGAAGCCCGCTTTGATGGACGCCGCTGTTCTCGAGGCGCCGCATCGCGAGCACTCCACCATGGTCAGCCGCGTGGAGGAGTCCTACCAGACCCCGCGTGCGTCTCAACGTGAGAACCAAACCCTCTAGGGGTAACTTCCCCATTCTTTCCAGGGATCCTTCCTTCTAGAAAACCACCAAACACCCTGGGGAATGGCTGGTTTTTGAGAAGAACGATGGCTGAAAAGAACGGGGGGAAGCAACCCCTGGAAACCCTGGTTCCCTTGGGGAAGCCAACATTTTGTTTTTCTCCGCGCCTTTTTCGAGGCTACCCCCCATTTCAGGTTGGCTCAAATCAAAAAGCGAAGCCCTGGCGGGCGTCCAAATCGGTCCCACCGCGCCGCCAACCGCCCCAACTCACTGGCCAGAGGCTGCCCAGCTACACCAATCTGGACAGGGTTCCAACTGCAGGTCTTGATTGCAAAACAGCTCTGCACAGCTGGAGCCCCTGCCAACCTGACCATGCTCCAATACTGCACTGTCAAGCAAATCCAACACCTTGCCAACCTGCCCATGCTGCACTGACACTGCAAGTTTCCAAATTGATTGCCAAGCAAAGCTGTCACCTGGCAAGGTTGCAACATTGCAAATCAACTAAAGTCAACACTGCAAGCCTTGGGGTTGAAAGACAACCAAGAGCACTGGTCAAACCACCCCAACTCACTGGCCAAAGACTGCCCAGCACAGGAACTGCAGGTCCTGATTGCAAAACAGATCTGGCCACTGCAAAATGTTGCAAATCTGCAGCCCCTGCAACCTGACCACGCTCCAACACTGCACTGTCAAGCAAATCCAACACTTTAAACTTGCCTTCAGAGACTCGCCAGTGCTCACTTGGAATACGTGCTAAAAGGGTTTCAAATGCCCATAACCCATACCCAGATTTCAACATCTCTTTGAGCCATGGCCTACGCAGCCATCAACCGGAGTCCTTCTTCAGGGAGGTCGACGCCGACTTGCACATCTCGCAGGTCACGTACTCCTCGCATTTAGGAAACAAACTTCGGTGGACACCAAGTGGCTGTGGTTGTGAATTCACCACCCATTTTAGGCTTCCTATTTTAGTGGAGATGGAATCGGATGTTCACGGGAGGTACGATTTGGATTTTGCCCCATGGCCAGGTGGCAATGCGATGTCCACCAAACGTTCTCTTGATGACCCCCAGGAAAAAATCATCGCCAAAAAACAAGCGGCGCTGGAAAGAGTGACCGTGGATGCATAAAACCAACCTGAAAGCTTTGAGCGTGTGGCAAATAGGTTGCTTTGTTTGGACCACTTGTGGATGATTTGGGGGTTTCAGCCAATTTTGAGCTTCCCATCCCTTTCAAAATGCCACCTCTTGCTCAAACCATTCCTTTGGCTCATTTTCTTCTGCAGCGCTTTCCACCTCTCCCTATCCTTGCATAGTCCGACTCTCCCATTCCCTCCCCTTTCCCCTTGTCTCATGTTCCACTCTTTCCTGGGGGGTAGCAGCCCCTTGCTGGGTGCCCACAACTTCTTTTCGACATCGCGCCTTGATGTACTTCCGCAGCAAGCTCTCGCAGTGCTTGGGCTGGTACCGGCCCTTGAGCACCAGCTGCCCGTCCTGCAAGCAAACTCTGGCTGGGTCCTTTTTTGGTAAACCACCCACCCCCCACAAAAAGGAAAGTGGGTATCCTTTCGGTGTCCCTTTGAAACCAAAGTCGGGGTATACGGTAGACCTAAAGAAAGACAGATATGTTTTATCTGAATTTTTCAAAGAGATTCCTTTAGAAGGTCTAAACCAACACCTCCTTTTGGCCCAAGGGTGGAAGGCCTCTCCCTACCAAGTCCCCTCCTGGCCCTGGCCCTCCGCGCGGGTGGTGGCGGCACCCGCCACGGAGCCCTCGGTGCCGAACTCCGCCAGCACGAACTGCACCACGTGGTCCACCGGCCGCTTCATCATGCCTGCGGTAGCAACGCCATCCCGCCAGGAGAAAAATTAAAGAAGAAACAAAAACAAATTCGGCTCCTCCCCCGCCTTCATGTTTTTTTCAGAGGCTTCCTTGGTTCGGGTTGGTTGGGATTTGTTTGTGGTCTCTTTTTCGGCCGTGCACGTCGCAGGGAGGGCTCCGCTTATTTGAGGCTTCCCGCGCGTGTCCTTTTTTTTTTGGGGGGGGGGAGGATCGCTTCGGGCACCGGACACGACATGACCCGATTTCCAGAGGTTCCTTAGGTGCGGCAGGGCTCCTCAGGCCCAAGAGGGGTGTATTCTCCGACCAAACATTAGACCAAAAAATGGTGAGGTGTCCTTTTGGTCTGGCTGGATGTTGCTACCCCCGCAAAAAATGGGAACTCACAACATGTTTCATCTAAAACTAGTTAACTGACCAGGAAAAGACCCCTGCTAGAAGCAACTGCAAAAATCCGGTGCCAAGGACCACGTGGGTGGGCGTTGCCGGCAAGCCACAGCAACCCGAAGGAAAAACAAATGGTGGAGAAGAAAAAATGAGGGAACAGAAATAACCGTAAAAAAAGAAAGAAAAAAAAACCTAGCTTTTCTATGCTTTTGTTGGTCAGACAAACTGCGGACCGGGCTGCTGCAAATCTCCGAGAAGTTCACCCAGGCCACCTTCTTGGAGCCAACACGCACCACCTCGCGCGGCAAAACCGGGAAAAATGGATACCTCGAAGGCCCGCGGAGTTTCCATTGTTTGGTAGGTAGGTTCAATGCTGAAATGCCTTCCTCCTGTGCAAGGGTACGTGTCAAAAGCAGGATCCCGCAAATGACAGTAGTGCTGCCTTCCAAGGCGAAAGGCCTCAAACGACGCACACTATCGTTGCGATCCCGCCTGAGGAGGCTTCAGCACATATCGCTCCTTGTTTCCCACATTGGGATTGTGCTCCTCAGGCAAACTTTGGTTGCCACCCTCTGGATCCCCTTTCAAGCAGAAATCTTTGAAGAGGTGTTTCCATATGGCTGTGGTTGTCAACACCAATGGTACTGCTGGTGAACATGGAAGGTGGGATCCATGGGTGTTCATCCGCCCCAAAATGGGATCGCCATAGGTTATGACCCATGGCATGACAAGATTTAATTCGCCGGGTCCTCGATGATCTTGAAGAGACGCTCCAAGAGCTGCTCGTACTCGTACAAGGGGCCAGGCTCCCAGTCTTCCACTCCCTGCAGCTTCACCTCGCCCTCCTTCACCTCTTCCTTCTCGCTCTTATCCTTCTTGTCCTTGGGCATAAAAACAACTCCAAAGAGATGGTGGAAGGGGCGTGATAAAAAATGCCATGAGCTGGTATGCTCCGGCAAAACCCGCCAGGTTTTTTTGGGCGGCGGCCATTCAAATCCCTTGGGCCTTGCTCTTATTCTTCTTCTTCTTGGAGCCGAAGTCGTAGACCTGTTCCTCGTCACCCATGGCTCTACCTCGATTTCGCGTGGAACAAAACTGCAAGGCTTCCTCCGCCTTGAGCCAGGGCTCAGGACAAAGAGCTGTTGAGGCCACTCACCACCCAGCCACATGATACCAGTGGTTTTTTTCCAATCAGAGCGGTCAAAAAGCCCGCAAAAGCTGCTGCTGCTGCTGTGGCACGGAATGACAGAGTCAGGTTTTGGGACTATGTGGCTGCTCAACTTATTTATAACTGTCTGAAAATAAGCTTGCTCATGTGGGTGCGGGTTATCTCACCAATTATTTTTCAATTTTGACGCGCTCACTGTACAAGCAATAAAACGATGTCATGCCTCAGGCATCATCCAAAGCAAGTCTCAACAACTGGTGGCCTAACATTGCCGTCTTTAAGTGCCTATCTTGCTCTTTCCCTCTTTGGTTTTTGCGTTTGGACTCGGAGAAATCCTGCTTCTCCTCTGGTCTTGTTCGCCGCTCCCACTTCTTCTTTCGGGCAATGGTTGAAGGAGCTTGTGAAGAAGCCACTCCGTGCATCTTGTTATGTCTTGCGCTGCGGGTCTGATGGGACTTGGAATACCCTCCGGTCTTGTCACGCAGTTGAGAATCTTCCTCTGACTCTCGATGTTCTATCCGGTCCTGCTCAGACCAATCTGACCAGCAGTCATCATGAAAGTAGTGGAAAATCTGCGGGGTGTCTTCCGCTGTCGACCCATACTTCGCGAAGAACTTGGCCATCGACTCCTTCACAGCCTTGTCCTTCTCCTTCGCTTGAGCCGATTGCATGGCACGCACCGCATGTCGCCCCCAGGGCTCCAGAGAGAGGAAGCTCTCCACCACGGCCTGGCGCACCTGCCACCTGAGTCATGATCAAAACCAGGTATTCAAATCAAAAGAATTAAGAAGGCAAATATCCGCAGCTGTTTATGGTTGGAACCCAGAACCATGTAAAGAACTGAGAAGGCGGATATCCGCAGCTATTTATGGCAAGGGGATTGTCCTTCACTAACCTTCATCAATCCCCGAATCGGTTTTTGAGCACGTGGCTCACCTGTGGCTGACGAGCCCCTCTTCGCCCATCAGCTCCAGCAGGTCATGGACGCTCCCAAGCTGATCCGGGCGCTCCGCGGCCTGGAGCTCTGCCTGCTGGGCTCGGCTGAGGCTGTGCTGCCACTCGCAGAACCTGCGCCGCAGGTAGTACACCATGGCCACGGACACTTGACATGCGGAAGCTTCAACCGAAATATCCGGATCATCAAGGCCCTCCTGCCATCCGGCCCACTTTGCCCAGTGGCTGTCCAACTTTCTGGAAATCTCTCGGCAAGCGAGTGAAATGCCTGCATCGTGCTTTGCTGCATCCAAATTCATTCGTTCGCCCAAATACAGAAGCTGGCATATCAACACTCCTGGCAAACTTTCAAACACTGGGTGAGCTTCAGCTGCAGCTTCGAATGTGGGGATGCAACTAGTGAGGTATGCAGCGGCAGCCTTCTGTACATCTTCCGAGGGATCGAAAAAGGCTCGGCAGACATGGGGCAGAATGATGCGCTCTCGTTGCAGCTTCATAAAAGGAGAGGGGCTGTCGCCCTCCAACAATCCGATGACCGACTTCGTGGCAGCCAAGCGGGTGTTGGATGATTCCGACTCAAAGAAGGACTCCACAGCCTGCTTGGCTTTCCCCATGATGGAGAGCTGCTGAAAGGGCCCGTACCCCGCTGGCGCGTACCCATATGTCAAGATGTCAGCAGCGTAGCCTGCGCCCGCCTCTTCGAACCACGAAAGCGCTTCGGCAGCTGCCGCTCGAACTCCGCGCTCGCCATCACGGAGGAGGTTGGCTATGGCAGCTGCATGAGGGAAGGCAACTCGACCCATCCATGAGAGTGCGTCCAGTGCAGTAGCCTTCACTGAGGAATCCTCATGCTCCAGGCACTTCGCCACTGCAGCGGCCAGAGAATGTGTTGGAGTGGTTGAGGCGACAAGGAGCAGCTTCTCCACAATCAACTCAGGCTTTTGTGGCCAGCTGTTTATCACCGTGATGTGGCTGCCATTCTCCAGCTTAAGTTCGGCCACGGACTCGTGGCTGAAGATCTCCTTGCCTCCACAAATGAACCTTTGCACAAGTCTGGGGATCTTCAGCGTTCGCTCAATGGCTCCACGCAACTGATCTACTCTTCCAGATGTCGAGGCTGCAATCGTGCAACTTTGGCCTGAAGGTGTGGACACACAAAGGGACACACGCCCAGGCAATGCGGAAGTCATATCAGGGAGGCAAAGTGTGGCGATTCTTAGTCCTAGTTTGAGCCATGAGGCTACAACTCCGAACTTAACCTGCCAACGATGGCAATCTATTTTGCAGTTTGGACTTCTGAGACCCTGCCCCGTTCTAAGCCTTGCAACCTTACTTGCAACATATGCAATGCAAGCAAAACTCCGACTCCTTGTGCAAAGCATGCGATGGTCGGAAGACGCTGACCTACGCTGATGCTAAACTGATGCGTCCTGTTGAGCCCGTTTGAGCTTCAAGAGGTGAGTAATCCTCAAACAGTTGCAGTATACCACAGGTATGCAAATTGTATACCCATAACATACCATATAGGGCAATTTGCAGTATGCCAATAAATATGCTACACTCTGCCGGTAAACGGTTTTCCTCGCCTCCACGCGAGGCGGCAGACTGTCCCCCAGGACCTGCACTATTTGACGTGTTCATGGTGTTTCTCAAAATTGGGGGCCCGACTTGTGGGGACCCAGAGTTTGAGAAACTCCCCCATATTTGCTTTCTGGGCAACCCAAAAAAAGTGGGCCCAAAGATCTGTGATGGAATCTCGCAGGCCGAAATTGAAAAATACGCGTCTTTACAGGCAAATGTACCGGGGAAACACGATGAGACATGCCATAAATCCACCTGCACTCCGCTCAAGCTCACGTCCAAATCGGACAACTAAATAGCAACCGCTGCCAGCCTCGCTCTTCAAGCGTTGCAGCAGGAAAGGTGCCAGAAGAGCGTGGCATTGGGTTATGACCTGCATGCGCGAGGCTATGAACATGCCGCCCTTGATCCTCGCCCACCAAACAGGCGACGTGGGGGCATTCGCTTGTGGAACAAAAGCATTCTTGGGCGAAATCATGGCGCCTCCTGCTCCTGCTGAGGATTCAACTGCCTTGGAGCAAGTGGGGGGTCTCATGTTGCTCTCAGTGTGCAGTTCGCTTCCATCCAATGATAAGCCAAAAGTTTCCCTGGAGTTCAACATCATCCACCCCAGGAACCCAGGAACCCAGGAATCCCTGGCGCGTGTCTTGCCGCCTGTCTTGCATCCACAAGCGCGTCAGGAAAGGCCCGCCAGGCCGCCACTCGACTCAGCTGGGGCGCTGAGCCCCGCGCACGTCGTACTCGTTCTCCTCGGTGCCTCTGAAGGGCTTGGCGAACCAGGCCTCAGACCGGGCGACAGGTGGCGGGGAGAATCTGTCAACTCCATTGCTTTGTGGTGCAGAAGGCTCAGCGCGGAAATGGGGGAAGGTGGACACTGAGGGTCCCTCTCTCTCTCTCTCTCTCTGTATACATATATATATATATACATATTGTAACCGCCTTCTCTTGCTTTTAGGTTTTCTGGATAAAAAATCGACTCCAGGTCGGGAATCCAAAGCGGATCATGATCAGTTGGGCCTTGAAGTCCAGCATCTCGGTGAACAAGTCCGGCAGGAGATAATGCAGCAGCGCCCAAAGCTCTGCGACACCTCGTGGATGGCTCCATGCCAAAACGACACGACACGACGCACTCCGACGCACCAGCCAACCAAAAATCAGGCAAGCATTGATATGGCTGTGGGTAAAAAATGCGAATCGAAAATGGAACTCTGGTAAATGGAACCAAAGACTAAAACCGGCAGTCCCCTGGTGGTTTCATTTTGACCCATACCCATATGTTTCGACCGGCAACCGAAGCAGCCGGAGCGCTGGATATGCCAAATCAAGTCTGGGAAAACCGCGGCTCAGCTTCTTTGGCCTTTCAAGCCGCAGTCCCCCGAGAAGAGTCCTACGCACAGCTCAGCTTCATCAGCTCAGCTTCATTCGTCTCTCTGGCTGTCCTCAAGGGAGAGACCCGTCTCTGCGGCAAAAAAGAGCCAAACATGGGTTCTGTTGTTCTGGGAAACCCATCTTCCTTTGGTGACGCGAAGATGTGAGGCAACCTGGTCATGTGGCACGTGGCTGTTTGTAAGTCAAGAGATGCATTTGCAAAGCTTCCTTCCCAAACGGTCGCCCCGTCCTTCCAGCTCCGAAAGAGGAACCAAACCACGCCCCACGCGCCGCGCAAAAGCGCGCAATGCAGGCTGCGCCACTCTGCAGGAAGACTGTCCTAGCCAAAAGAGGCTGAATTTCATACCCAAGAAATCCCGAGGGCCCTCCATGAAGCCTTGCAGGGCTCTTTTCATGTCATTTCCGCGTGTCACTTTGCTCTTTCAGCAAGGAAAAGCACCGACGGCGCGGGTTCAGAGATCCGCGCTCCTCGCTGCCCAAGCCCATGGGACGTCTCGGCCATGGAGGAAGGTCCAGATCCGTATCGTCCCTCCTACGCTCGGAACCCGCCACTGGGCGGGCATCAAGCTGCTCACTGGCCAACCAGTTGGACCGTCCCCAAAGTTGAAGCCTCCGCTGGGTCTTGGCCCCCATTCCAATCTTCCACGCCCTTTTCCTGTGGGGAAAGCCAAATACACGAGATCACCTTCCATGGGCCAGCCAACCAACCCGCCTCCCGAACTCGAAGGCGTGGCGGTCCAGGGCCTCCAGGGCCTCCGGCGCGATGAAGGGCTGCAAGGACCCGTCGGGGCAAACCGCCACACGCGCGGCGTCGTCCGCCAGCAAGCACCACTCCTACGAAAATCCAAACGTTTCCCCGGCCGAACATCCTAACATCCTACACCAAAAGCGGCGTCAATGCGGCAAACCCTCGGCAACGGAAACTGCAAGAAAGCCTGTCTCGCATGTGACGTGTCGCTACAAAGCTGGAGCAAGCACGTCGCCTTTTCCTAGTGACAAACGCGACTGCCAGCACCTTCGAGCTTGTGCAGCTGAGAATCGAAGTCGCTGAGGAGCAGCGCCGTTCCCGCTGGAAGTCCTTGCTTCACCAGCTCCCGATTGACAGCATCTGCCTCAGAGACCAGGCACTCAACTGTGTAAAAGCCCTTGCACAACCGCAAAAAGCGGACTAAACAAAGTCACCGCAAAACGCAGAAAGGACCCCTTCAGAACCCAGAAACCTTGAGCCTGGATCTCCGCCCAGGCACCGCCTCCTCATCCAGGGCGATGATGAGGTCGTGCTCGCGCAGCGCCTCGTCGCCCAGGCTCACGCGCACGCCGGAGCCCAGCTTCCGGAAGATCTGCCGCAGCTCCTCCTCCTCGATGCCCACGTTCTCGGCGAACTCTGCCACGCAACCCACGGGGCCCAAGGCTTCGGTCGTCTCCTGAGAACTGCCACGGCATGACACAAGAGACTTGTCTCACAACTCATGAGTTGAAGTCATGACTCTGGGTTTGAACACGCTTCAGGCGGTGATACGTACGGATCCTTCCAGCCACCCGCCTCAGCCACGTGCGCGCAGGCGTAGAACTCCAAGGTGCGGCTGAGCCCGTTCCACGCCGCCGCGCCGTCCGAGATGCGCTGCGCCAGGCGCGCCCGGGCGTAGGACGGCGCCTGGGCGTCCACGAAGAGCACCGAGACGAAGCAGCGAGACCAGTCGAGCCGGGCCCCCAGAGCCTCCAGTCGCTGAGTGTGCCACGCGGCCATGAAATTGCTTGGAGCACCGCTGGGAGTTGCGCGGGAAGACGACCTTCGAAGCCGAGCCGGCCTCCGAAGGCAGGGCACAAGGAACAGCGGAGAAGCTGCTGGACGCCACCAGAGGTTCGCGCGCTCAGCTGTCCTCGGATGCCCAGGCAAAGGTCCGTGCGCTGCGATTCGTGGGCGCCATCTGCCACCTTGCACCTCCATGGCGACAGAGGTAGCTGCTAGCCAACCAATTGGGCTGCCATGCGCACACTGCAGCGTCCAGCTGGTTCAACTGCTGTTTTCGGACTGACCCGTGTTGCACCTTGAACGCTCGGTGGAAGCAAGTAAGTGTCACGCAATACGATGCGTGAGAGCATTCTCCAAGCATCTAAGCTGCCTGTGCGTCCTTCAGAAAGCTCCAGAAAGCGCAGACCGAAGCACATCACGTGAAGGCAATTCCCTGCTTTGAGGTGTCAGCGGAAGGAAGGAAGGAAGGAAGGAAGGAAGGAAGGAAGGAAGGAAGGAAGGAAGGAAGGAAGGAAGGAAGGAAGGAAGGAAGGAAGGAAGGAAGGAAGCAAGGAAGCAAGGAAGCAAGGAAGCAAGGAAGCAAGGAAAGCAAGGAAAGCAAGGAAAGCAAGGAAGCAAGGAAGCAAGGAAGGAAGCAAGGAAGCAAGGAAGCAAGGAAGCAAGGAAGCAAGGAAGCAAGGAAGCAAGGAAGCAAGGAAGCAAGGAAGCAAGGAAGCAAGGAAGCAAGGAAGCAAGGATGCAAGGAAGCAAGGAAGCAAGGAAGCAATGAAGCAAGGAAGCAAGGAAGCAACTAAGCAAGGAAGCAACTAAGCAAGGGAAAGCAAGGAAAGCAAGGAAAGCAAGGAAAGCAAGGAAAGCAAGGAAAGCAAGGAAAGCAAGGAAAGCAAGGAAAGCAAGGAAAGCAAGGAAAGCAAGGAAAGCAAGGAGAGCAAGGAAAGCAAGGAAAGCAAGGAAAGCAAGGAAGCAAGGAAAGCAAGGAAGGCAAGGAAAGCAAGGAAAGCAAGGAAAGCAAGGAAGGCAAGGAAAGCAAGGAAGCAAGGAAGCAAGGAAGCAAGGAAGAAAGGAAGAAAGGAAGAAAAAAAGAAGACGACGTAATGAGAAGCAATGGAAGAGGAAGAAGAAGAAAAAGAAGAAGAGCTCTCAAAGCCTGCTGGGCTGCCGACTGTTCTGGAGTGGGGTGCCAGTGAGCAACAGCCTCATGCGACACCTGTCATCAGCGCATTGCCTAGTGACTGCCGCCTTGTCATCAGAACAGGTCTCGAGAATGGCCCCGAGTGAGACTAATCCAAGGGTTAATTCCCTTCATAGGCCCATCAAGTTGTTGCAAGTTAGAAGGATCCCCTGAACAGCATGGGGCTAGAATGCAGCACTGACATAGGAGTCTTGGAGCCTGCAGTCCCCTATCTGAGCGGTTTGCCAGTCATGAGGGGCATTAAAAAGAAGGCTCTAGTGGCCGCATCCAAAGAGCGGTTTGGTCTTCCCGTTGGGGATACGAATCTTTCGTACCCCAACCCAAGGTGACCTATAAGCAGGCACTTGAATCAACATCAGCTGCAAAGAATTGAAAAGGCGCCCATTTATGGCTGGAATTACCCGGGTTTGATTGGCCCTCCCCCCTCCCCTTCCCCCCCCCCCCAAGGGAAGCCACCTTTCTCCAGGGTTCCCTGAGACAACCCCGCACAAGCTTGCCTCAGCTTGGCCATGGTGGCATGCACCAGCGTCTCGGGGTTCTTCAAGCGGTGACCTTCCGCCCGCCGGCGCCCGGGGGGGGGGGGGGTCAAAGGGGAGGGGCCGACCGTCACTGCGCGGGAGCGCGGGATTCGTCCCTTTTGGTTGGCACCGGTGATGAATTCGCAAAGCGAGGATCTTGAAAATGCCCCGGTCGCCTTCATCAACGATGACCAGCTGCCAATCTCGCTGCAGCAGCCAGTCGTTGCGGTAAACCTCTCGCCAGCACGGTATTCAGAGAAAGAAATCGGATCCCTGCCTGCTCGTAGTTGGTGATGCACACGTTCACCTGCACTCATAAGAAACAATGCAGGATTAGTTGCTTCTTTGCCTCTTGCAAATGATGCCTGGAGTCTTCAAACTTTACATTCGAGCACAAGTCCTTCCCCTCGCACGGGCCTTGTCAGGCCGCAGAATTGCTGCCGATTCTTTGGCCTCCACCAAAGTCAATTTTCCAAGGCACAGGACTTACTGCCTCAAGGTCACTGCGTCACACAACCTCTCAACCTCCCGACGGCCTGCGCCAGCAGGTGCACGCAGGCATCTGGAGCGAAACGCTCAAACTCAGCCTGCGCTGCTGCTGTTCTTTGTAAGATAACAACTGCTTTCACTCAACTCCGCCAGCACGGACGCGCACACACCAAAGGCGCCACCAAAGGCATTCAGCTATGCCACCCAATCCAAGCTCAATTGTACTATCTTTGCTCTAGATGCAAGCTGCACGCCAATGCTCATATGCCGCACTCCCCCCCCCCCCCCGCTTGCCTTATTATTGTGGTAAGCCCATGCCCAAACACGATCAACACGTCAAAAACAAAAAAAGATCCTGTGTGCACATTCAAAGCTTCTCGGCCTGCCAGTTCGAGAGACAGGACTTGGGCGCAACCACGAGATGCGGCCCGAGATTGCCTGAGTCCTGGCAGCTGTCAGCTTTGTTCGTTGCTGTCATTCGGCCACGGGTCAAAAGCCAAATGGCTGTGGGTCAAAATACCGGACCCCAAATAGAAGCCTGGCAAGGACTAAAACCTGCGGTCCCCTGGTGGTTGAATTTTGATTCTAAAATGGGTGGGGAATTCACCTACCCCAAAATGGTACCATTGGCAGCCATTCATCAAAATGGAAGAAGAAAAGAACCAGAAGGCCAAACACCTGCATCGCGCAGCATAAGATCAGAAAATCAGAATCGATAGAACGGCCAAGAACCACCGAAGACTTGCAAGACAACACGCAAACCAAAGGCCTTTCGGCCTTTCCCTTTTTGGAATCCTGGAGGTGCAGCAACAGGGCGATGCTCTGGATGGTCTTGCCGAGTCCCATCTCATCCTAATGGCAACAACCAACTGTACACCGTCCCTGAATTGTTCCTCGCTTGGTATCAACCAGGTGGGACAATCGGAAATAGAAGACACCCTTGTGATTGCTTGCATTGGACTTCTTTTCCCACCGGGTTGGCGACACATTATTTCAAGAACCGAAGCGCCTGTGAAACCGGACAGAAGACAAGAACCGCGTGCGTGAGACGCAAGTGCCTCTCTCATCCTCCACCCATCCCCTTTGCTTGCTGACACGGGCACAGGCGTCTCTTAGCGTCTGGCCGCCAGAATGCCATGCAGGCCATTGATCTTGGAAGCAATCAATCTGGGTGTTGAGGAATTTTAGGCAAACAAAAGGAAGCCAACCATTTTGGGGCTGCGACCAAACCGCGAAACACATTGCGGAGAAGAAACGGCTTGCAAGGCCCAGGCGTACAGCGACACCAACCACTCCAGTCCTTCTACCTGACGAGCGCCGAAGATCCCTTGGCCTTGGTCTTGATTTCCAGAGCTTCGATTCCGGGGAAGCCGAACCAAATTGCCGGGGTGTTCTTCCTGTTTGCCCAAGCCAGATGTCCAACCGATACACATCAAGAGAAAGTGACTCGCGCCTGGTGCGGGAGCAGGCCCTGCATGGGTGCTCGAAGCTCTGCCTGTCGATTGGGACCATGCACAACCGCCGTTGTTCGCTCGCGTGCCGTGCAGTTTGGGGTGGTCCAGTTGACGTGTTGGGGCGCTCGCTAGGCATGCAGTTTGGGGCGCGGGTGCATTTTTGCGAGATTGAGACTCTACGGGGGGGTGTTGCTAGAGATGTTAGAGCAATCATCCACCTGCTTTTTGGTATCCAAGTTTTATGCTGGTGTAGCTGTTTGCATGTGTCTCCCAATTCGGGCAACCCCGAAAAACTGCTGGTCCCTTATAAACCCAAACAAAACGGCTGGGTGTCCTTTTGGTTTGCAGTTAACGCAAACAAAAGGGAGCCACCGGGATCGAAGCATGCCCGGATGCCACGCCCAGCACGAAAAGCTCGGGTAATGCCACAACTTAATTGTGCGCTAAGAGGAACATGCGTCACTCCAATGCCGATGTCTAGACCAAAGTTTGACGCAAAAGAAACTTCAGGTTCCCACTCCCCAGTAGCCTCCAGCTGGAAATAGACAAAGTAACTTTTCTTGAGTGCCCGGCCTATATCTCCCAAGCAACCATCCCCCGCCCCCCAGCCTGTTGTCGATGCACCAGTCGCATGTAGAGCTCCCGCCGCTCTGATGGATCGGTGAGGGTGCTTTCACGAAACTCCTGGCTCTGCATTGCACAGCCAGCATGGTACTTGCGCAGTTGACACCTACACACACAACACGAACCGCAAACAAACCCACCCACACATCTATATACATATGTAGCTACAATGATTACATATATATATATATATATACACATAATACATACACTCAAGGCAAGGGTCACTCTTAGGAGTACCAACTGGCAAGCAAGAAAGCAAGCCAACAAGGAGAAGCACATGCCCAGATTGCCTGCAAAGCCTCAGAACTGCTCCGGCGTAAGATCTCGCACATGTGACCTCGCTCAAGCAACAGGCTCTGTGACAAGCCGTTTGAATGTAAATTGCTACCGGAAATAACGGCAGAGAAGAACTCCCTCACAAACTGACACGAAATCATTGTCAAACCGTGGATTCGTCCAACAATCCAGTTAAAACAGTGTTGAATGATTCACCTCTCTTTCTCTCTGTGCTACTCACGCCTTGTATTTCAGCCAGCAGCTCTTGAAATCTCGTCTCCGCCAGCTCCTCCAGCCGCGCCTGCCCATCCCCACGAGAGCATCTGCTACAACGCGCATGGCGTCTCAGGCCTCCCGCTGCTTCCTCTCTGCCTGGCGCTCCGCAAAGCTGGGCGGCGCCCGGCAGGCTTCCCTCGCTTTCAAGCTGGTCTAAACCAAAGGCAAAGCGGGCAACAAAGCTCTACATGGCTGTGGGTCAAAACCCTGTACCCCTGGTGAACGTCAGAATCGGTGGCAAATGGATGTGCATCCACCCCAAAATGAGGCCATAGGTTATGCCCCATGGCCACATTGCGCTTGGAACTTCCCAGTCTCCCAATTGCTGATCAATTATAGGTGACGACAAGTCATTCATGCCCCTATGTCTTGACTGACAGCACGATGTGCGCCTGTCTACGGCCACATCCACAGAATGAGCGGCGGGCTCGCTTTCCTGCAAGATGGCTGCCTTTCTTTCTGCTGCTTCAAGCGCCCGGAATTCAGCAATCCCAACATGTGTAGTCGCCCACCTCCATGATCTTCAGCCTCCTCCGTCGCTTCGGCCGGTCATCAGGCCTGGCTTGGAGTTTCTCTTTGCAACGTGGGCCCGGGCCAACCTTGACTTCCTCGGCACGGCCGGTGCCAGCTCCGCACAAACTACACGAAGCTGGCCAACTGTGGAAATCCCTGCGCCTGGCGTCCGCCTCCTTGGCTTGGCTCGTCCCAGCCTGGCATCGCACTCAAACACCTGACTTGTCCCTCCCCCCCTCCCCACGGCCTGCGTGGCCTCACGCTTGCTCGGCCTCCACAAATCGCGGCCGCGCATGCCGCTGGTGCGGTGCCAGGCATGGAGGGCCACAATCCGACACCTGCCACGCCTGCGGGAAGACAAAGGCGTGGGCGGCGGGCGGTCTGCGGCCTGCGCATCAAGTGCGGCTCAAGTGCTTCAAGCATGGGCTGTCCAAGCGCGCGCCTCAGGCTCAGCCTTCGCCCGCCAAAGCTGGATGCCCTGGAGCAAGACGTCTGGCACTGGCCATCTTGGCAACCCAAAAAATAGCGGACAGACCCAAAGGGGCAAACACGAAGAATCTGGACCCCCCCGTTTTGGGCACCATGCAAGTCACAATCGAAACTGGATACTCCCCCAAGAAAAGAATGGAGCGGATGTCCGCACCTACTTGGAACTGTCCCTTTCCCTTCTGTTTTGATTGCGGCTCATGTCCTCCCTCCCAACAAATCGCACCTGGAGTGGAGGGTACCTGGAAGATAATATTCCTTGTGTGGAAAACCCCCTGTCACCATGCTAGTGGCAGTGAGGCTATATGCAAAAACCCGGGGGGGGGGGAATGATAACAAAAAAACAGAACCAAAGAAATGAAAACCATATTTAAAACAACAAACAGAAAAAAAGAAGGAAAAAAGAGAAAAAGAAATGAGAACGTCTTTCTTTCCCCTGCTTTTTTTCGCGCTTTCCCTCCGGCCTCGGCCACGGCCTCGGGCGTGAGCCGCTGCCCCGCCGGCGTGACTCGGCCCTCCGCGGCCCAGGCCTGATCCGATCAAAGGCCGACGGGTCGACGGGTCGGAACTGAAGCCCTCGGCTCGGATCGGATCGATGTCAACGATCCAAGCCGATCCAAATCAGAGCGTTGGGTCAAGGAACTCGGAAAAATCGGCGGGCAAGCTCATACGGACGAGCGGCGCAAGCTTTGCCACGGAAGACCACAAAAAAACTCCTTGCACGAATGGACTGCGCGATTCCGCGGCGAATGGCTGTTTCAGGTCCTGCTTAAGCTCTGCAGGTGGTTGGCCCAAGAGCCCCGCACTCCGTCCCAAAATTCACATAGCCTTTGCGGCCTTGTCAAGAGGGCCTTCCCAGGTCAAGTTCGTTGACTGAAACGCTGCTTCGCCTGCAGCCGCTCGCAGCTGCGATCGCCGTCGCCCAACCTCTGGGCGATGATGTCCAAAGCCTGCACACCAAATCCCACCCAAAAGTTCTGTGAGGTAAAAAGTGAAGCAGCTTTGAGCTCCCACTCCTTTGAGCCAATCCCATCACTTGCGTCAAGAATCTGCCCAATGGAAGCTTGCCTTCACCACATCTTCAATACGTATCGTCCGAGGGCGAGGCCTGACCAAAAACCCCGCAGAAGTCGAGCCCGCTCTCAACATTTTACTTGCAGTCATCGTTTCAGGCGGGCCTGTACTTATCTGCTTAGAGACTAGCCTGTGCCCGCACCGCACTCTGCCCTTCTGCTTCGATGAGGCATTTGACTGCTGTGAGAGAAGTGCAAGCAGAACTCTTGCGACAAACGGAGAAGACTTAGAAAATAGCTCAGGGAATGCCACACACCTCAAAAAAGGCCGTCGCGAAGGCATTTCTGTTTTGCCCAGCTGAAAGCTTTGGGGCACTTGCCCAGGCTCCGGGGGGTTCCAGAAGGGTTCCAGGGGGTTGGGGAATCCTCTGGTCCTTTCTCCGAGGTCTGCATTATTCTTGGCAGTTTGGCAGTCGGGTTCTTGGCAGTTTGCCAGTCGGGTTCCATGGAGCCTCGATGGTTCCATGGCAAGTGCGTAGGCTGCAATGCTGTGCAATGATGTTACTCAGCTGATGACTTGAAGGCTGATAGACGTCGAATTGCTTGTAACATCACACCCACGGTGGTTAAACAAAGAGCAGGGTTTTTCCTCATGGGAATTGCGGTGCTTGGAGCATACTGGAAAGATCCTCCAGGTGGCATGTTGGTTGTTCCTCTCAAATCTCTTGTCTTTCATTCTCCCTCACATCTTTCGGAAAGCTAGCCACTGACGCGGCCACCGGGCACATCGCAAGCTTCGCAGTACCCCACTCCAAAGGCGGAATTCTTTCACACTTGCAGGGCAGGGCAAGCTCCTGGAAACACAATGAAATTGGAGATGCAAGAAATGGAAACTCAAAAAATCACCACAAGTACATCCACAACTGAAGAAAAATGAATTGATGACATCTTGAGAATGCTGTATACTTTGAAGCACGCTTCATCCCTCGGAGAGCCTTCTGGAATTGAAGGTAAGCAGAACACCGACCCACATTTATCCGGGAAAACAGGAAACCTAGCAGACTGGCCAGGTGACTAACCAATATCAACAACAGTGCGAACATGCAGAATGTCAGCCTCACAGTATAGATTAAGCAAAAAGCCCAACAAAGATCACCAATAAGTGAAGCGCGCTGTTCTGTTCTTGAGCCAACGTACAGCAGTCATGTCGCGCTGTGCAAGTGAGACACTCATGCAATAGGGATTGTCTATTGGTCAGAAAGGTTGTTGATACAAGATCATCACATAAACCACACCCCCCGTGTTCGACAGTGTATCTGGAGGACAAACACGCCCGGAAAGCATGAGGTCGCATCGGAATGAACACCTCACGCTTCCGCTGGCCATCGCTCTCGCGTGGCGACGCCCATCCCGAATTATGGTTGCTGAGTCAGGCCGTCACTGCCAAATCCATCCACGGCTGGTCTTCCAAGCACGCTGATCCCTCCCAACACTGCGTTGTCGGATGATCTCTCCCAAGGCTTGCGCCATGTCCAGCCAGCTGTCATAGTCGCGGCCACCGGTTTCCCGAGCGATGGAATTGGCGTGAGACCGCCCCCGCAGCTCCCGCCTCGACGAACGTGAGCAGTTCGGCAAGGACAGCCTCCGGCTCCTCCACGGTATAGACGTCGCCGGTCCAGCCCATGATCTTGGAGGGCCTCAAACTGCCCATCAACGGGCTTGCTCTTGAGCTTCGGCGCGCGCGTGAGGTCAGTAGCCAGAGCCACGGATGCGGCCCAGCTGGGTCCTTGCATGAGACGCACCAGAAGTCGGTCACGTTGCCGCAGAACAGGACTTCGGGCGAGGATCCGGCTTTTGAGCTGCCATTTCACCCCTTGTCCTCCGGATCCTCGGGGAAATGTTCGAGGAGTCGCGCTCATCATCCGACAGCATGTGTTCCTGGGCGGACAGGATTCACCTTCTTTCTCACGATAGTTCGTTGGTGAAGAGTTTCGTGGAGATCCTCCTTCTGCGCTCTCCTGCAGACCTTCATCCACAAAACCGCCGCCAACGAAGTCCTCCCTCTCTCCCGGGTTCAACTTCACCTCGTCTTCAGGCGGTGCCTGCGGATCAGCTTCGATGTTGCTGAAGCGGCTTTCGCGGGTAGGCCTTGACCACACTGCCACACGCTTTTTCGCTCCTGGATGGCGATCTGGAAGATGCGCGGGGGTTCCCCAGATCCGCAAGTGAGGATGACTGCATCAGACGGAGTGTTCGGCCCGCGCTCGGCCACCTGATGCTTGAACTTCTGAGTCCTGGCGTGCGCCACGTTGATCAGCCTTCCCTTCGGAGTTCAAAACTGTCTCCTGGATAAGGACACGCGCATTGGCGCTTTGGTAACACTCAAGCCAACTTGACAGTGAGCAAGATGGTGTCGCGTTTCCAAAAAACGGGAGGCCCCGCTTGCGTGGCAAGAGCCTCTGGGCCAACAGGCCCTTGCGGCGGATGCCGTGGACTTATTCCAATTGCACTAGGCCGGCCCGTAGACGTTGTCGGCAAGTGGGAAGTTGTTTGCGGTTCACTCGTTGGAGAGTGTTCTGTTCTGTCAACGCTAACGCTAGTGCGCTTGCTTGCTAGGCCTGCCGCCTTGTCAATTTCTCGGCGCGTGGCATCTCCTGGCTGTTGCAGTAGCATCTGAAAACAACAGGAATCTCCGAAGGGACACATGTTGCGCTCCCTTGACAAAGTGCTGCCTCAAGGTGTCCTAGAAATATTGACCCCGGTGTCAAGGTCCATTAAGGAATCTGTGTTGAGCACCGCCGCGTACATCTCCGCTGTTCCATGTCATCGATTCCGCGGGGTAAGTCCGGTAATGGCCAACCAGTCCTCATGACCCTCGTAAACAAACCATGAGGTCGTGGCGTCAAAAGCTGGAGGAATCTTCGGTGTGATTGTGGACTGGTTCAAGTTGGCGAAAAATATCAGTCGCAGGGCTTGGCGCAAGGTCAGACGTCGCGGCCAGGTCCTGGCTGCCCCGAGGAGTTTGACTGTTGGCTTGCGACGCGGGCTCCAGCGTGACTTCTTGAGCCCGCAGACCTATACAAATCATGTTCATCAACGGAAACGACGGACGGCCGCCTCTTGAGCCCGAAAGCGACGGAAACGACTGCCGGGCCCGGAAACGACGGACGGGCGGGGCCGAAAAGGCTTTTGGAACGGCCGCTTTTTTCAGCTTCCCGTGCAGCAGTGAGGGAACCTAGTTGATCCTGCCAGTAGTCATACGCTTGTCTCAAAGACGCGGGCCGGCCACCCCCTGCCCCCTGCGCCAGACACGAGAGCGGTTGTGGGAAAGGAAAGCCAGCCACCGCTTCTGCAATCGAAAACCACCGCAATCCACTCGGGCTCCGCTACTACTTTGTAGCGCAAATAGGGCTCAAAGGATACTGATATACTCCCAAGCAGTCAGAATGACAGGGCGCGGAGGCTGATGTCTTTTATGGCTCTGTGAGAATGTGGTTTAAGCCACTGAGGAACACACAAGGAAATATATCAAGTTGTGACAGTCACATGCAGTGAAAAGTATGATACAAAGGTTTCCTACATTGCTGTAAGGGTCAGTCATGTACAATTCAAGTAACACCCCCAGCGCTTCGAACACTTGAACATGAGGAGGCACTTGGAACACGTGAGCTACCTGGAACACTTGGTGCACTTGGAACACTTGGGGCACCTGGAACACTTGGGGCACTTGGATGCACTTAGAGCACTTGGTGCGTGAGGCACGCATAAGTACGTATGCAGCGGTCAACAGGGAAGGAAAAGAAACATCAGGCTTTGTGGGATGTGGAATGTCTGGTGGAATTTGTTTCCCAAAACGATATACCGGTACCTGCCGCTGATTTGTGCCTCATGTGTACCGGGTAAATTTTGCGAAAATCATGTCCATATATGAATCTGAATGTCACCTTGTCGGTTCGCCAAAAGAACTGAGAAATTCCCCAAAAGCAATTCATGATTGCAAACCTCCGCTGCGCAGCAGCGGATCCAATGGAGCAAAACAGATCCAATGCGCCCTCTCCAGGCGCCACTGTCAGGCGCAACTGTGAAAGATATGGCCACGTGTGTGTGTGTGTGTGAAAATCTGTCAAAGTGGCTTCGTGAAATGAATTGGACTTGGGACTCCATGGGGCCCATGGCGCGATGAAGCTTCCTCTCCGAATCAAATGACATGTTGACAGGCGCCATCGGTCACTTGCTGCTCAGACACTTTTTGCGCCCGAATCGCACAGCAGAATTCCAGGGACCAAGTGGCACTCGTAGCTCACACCAGCTGCAAGTCGGTAGGTCTTCCTTCCCAAGGAGCGCAGCTCATACTTAGCTGAACGTGTAGGGCTGTGAAATCATGCCAAGATTTCACCAAGTGACGCTTGCAGCCCGCATCATTTTCTCGCCACGCCGCTACATATATTACTTGATGAGCTGGTTGGAAGTAAAGCACTGTTCTCGCGCATGGACACATGTGTGCCCAAAGCACTTTATGGGCTGTCACTAGATGGCACAGAATCCGTTAATTTGGATGGTATGTGGGACCCACAAAGCCGAAAAGACATGACTTAACCTCCAGAAGCTCGTGCGCTATCGTTGCGCCAATCTTGAAACATCAGTCACAAGCATATAAACATACGTGGATGAGTAAAGGGACGCTACGCAAACAACAAAATATTGGTACGCACCAAGCGCTCTTCCGACTTTGCCCGATTTGCATGTGGAACTGTGGTGCCCAGGGTACGGCACATGGTACGCTCAATACCACCCCACATGCTGGTGCTGAACGTGCACATGCAAACATCATAGGCATGCCGGCTCAAACATACCTTTGAGCCCGCAAGGGGTGTGAATGGCACCGGTGACGCAATGCCTTTCAGCTAATGATAGCTAATGTGCACCAAAGTATGATGCGGCTATAAGCACAGATAGTAATGGTAAACAAACAAACAAACAAACAAACAAAACAAACAAACAAAACAAACAAACAAAACAAAACAAAACAGGCAGGCAGGCAGGCAGGCAGGCAGGAAGAGACAGAAAAAACAGATAGACAGACAAAACAAAACACTAAACAACTACTAAAAAGCTACTAAACAACTACTAAACAACTAAACAAACAAACAAACAAACAAACAAACAAACAAAACAAAACAAAACATGATGCGGCTATAAGTACAGATAGACATGTTAAACAAACGAACACACAAACAAACAAACAAACAAACGGGACTGGGATCACTTGCGCACCTTGGTTTCTGTGTTTACTTGTCTGTTGGAACTGAAAGAAACTGCCTCAGTGCTGGCAACGCTTCAAAAGGTTGCCCTTTTCGTTGGCAGGCACGGCCTTTCAAAACGACCGCTCTCGTTTCAAACATCTTGACTTGTTTGTGCATTTTGTGGGGGGAGCGTCGCTCATTTGATCTTGATAGGAACAATATGGCATACTGCGCGTGCGTCTTCCCAAAAAAAGGAAGAACAAAAAACACACTTTGGAGTCGGATGCAGTAGTGTCACAGCTAATCGAAAAGTCAAACTGATGTAAGCAGACTTACTAACCAAGCTTGTTGCTTTCCACTAAAATGGCCCAAACCAAAAAGTGCATAAGTCACTTAAACTCAGAAGTGGAGGAAATATGTCTCCCCTGTATAGAACTGGTGGAAGTCAGAACAGACTTGTTGCAAGGGAGCTGCAGCGAATTCCCTTGCCAAGACCTTGGACCACGGCCCGGCTGAGGTTCGGGGGAAGTCGCGTCACATGACCCTTAACAAAAATCCGCCCGCCGGGCGTGCCGTGTGCATATTTGTTTGTGGGCCATGCAGAAGTGACCCCTATCCTCATTCCTCTCCTTTCATGCTTGATCCGGCTTCGGAAGCATTCTGCCTAACTTGACTATAAAAAAGACAAAAAAGAAAAGAGTGATTTTCCAAGGAGCAGCGAATCCAAATCTACATGATTCGAGGCTAGCCCACAAGTGTCATGGGCCACGTCACCAATACATATGCCCCAACGTACTCCAATGGCCCGCGTCAAAAAGCCATATCGGCCCTAAGCATGGCGAGCAATAACGACCACCTCCCGAGTGACGAAACATTCGGCAGAGCATGCAAACTGCTGGGACTGTCCAATCTTGACTTGGGGTGTCTCAAAATAGGAGTGCCCAAAATGGTGGTTGTCCTCTTTCTTTCCCTTTAAAAACCCTAAAAGAAAAATGGACGAGCCAACCACCCCTTCTTCGGGTTCAACGAACTGGGAGGACTTCCTGGCCCGCCTGCCGCAGGTCAGGAGCTGCAGGACCTCGAGCTCCAGCACCGGCACCGCACCGGCGCCTGCCGACCGGGCGAAATGTTCGGGCCGGACCTGATTCGTCCTGGCGGACCATGGTCTGGTTTCAGTACTGCTAGCCCTTGGAATCCGCAATGCCTGCATGCTGTTCCAACCCAGACTTTTTAAACTGCACCGGTCCTGGCAGGCCAGGCACGCTGATCTCGCCACGCCGACGGGTTTACCATCACACCCACAGTGGTTAAACATAGCTCAGGGCCTTTCCTCATAGGAATTGCGGTGCTTGGAGCATGCTTGAAGGATCCTCCAGGTGGCATGCTGGTTGTTCCTCTCAATCTCTTGTCTTTCATTCTCCCTCACATCGTTCGGAAAGCTAGCCACTGACGCGGCCACCGTGCACATCGCAAGCTTAGCATTGCCCCAATCCAAAGGCGGACTTCTTTCTGACTTGCAGGCAGGGCAAGCTCCTGGAAGGACAATGAAATTGGAGATGCGAGAAATGGAAACTGAAACAAGTAGCACAAGTACATCCACAACCGAAGACAAATGAGTTGATGACGTCTTGGGAATGTCATATACTTTGAATTGCGCTTCATCCCTTGAACCACATCGAAATTGGCACATCAAGAAGGCAAGCCGAACACCGACCCACCTTGCAACATTGGCATTTCAGCGAGATCTGCCGGAGCGGTTGCAGATTCACGGTAAACAGGAAACCTGGCAGACTGGTCAGGTGAACCAATATCAACAGTGCAAACATGCAGAATGGCTTCACAGAATTGAAAGTGATTGGTCATGATTTGTTTGCTCAAGTTTCTTCGGGCTTGGATGGGCAAAACCAACCATCTGAGCTTGTGCTTTAGGAACGTTCTTGAATCATATCCGGCGAAAGAAGAGAAAAAGGCTCAAGAAACGAAAAGAGAAAGAGAACTATAATTCATATTTGAAACTTTCGCCCACTGGCTTCGCCGGCTCTATTGGTAGTGTTCACTTGTGTATATATATATATACATATAAACATATTTGTATATATTAATGATTTCATTTAACTCAATTGCGTATGCTTTGCTCAAGTCTCTACAAATCTCTAAAGATTTCAAGCGGATCTCCGGAATGAGGGAGGGCAAGCCGCCCGGCCGGCAAATCATTCATTCGGCGCTCCATGGCGCCCAGCTTGCGCGAAGCAGTCGCGACAGGAGTCCACGGAGACATTGTGTTGGAGCAAGCTGTGTCTGAAGATCCGCATTGCTTCCTGGTAGACGATGCCGTCGATCTCATCCTGGAAGCCCTCCAAGGGAGCTGTGTCATAGTTCTTGGAGCTCTGGGTCTTGCTGAAATCCAGTGCGCGGCAGGGGCCGCCAAAGATCTTGCGGAAGAGGCAGATGGACAGATCCCACTCCTCCGTGATCCCCACGAAGGCGAAGCCTTGAAGCCTCCGCACAGCCTCCCCAGCCATCTCCGTCGTTCGCTCCGGTATGTCCACTAAGCCGGGCAGCCAGTGATGGCCACCCCCGTAGTTCAGGAGCCCCTCTCCCACCAGCTGGTAGGCCACGGTCCCCGCAAAGAAGCGAGCAAAGACCGGCGCGGGCGGCCTCGTGCCGTTCCGGTGCGCGCAATCCGCCTGCGGAGCCATCCACGTCCTCAGCTCGTCGTGATACGCGGCGAGGGCCCGCTGCTCGGGCTGGCGAAAGACGCCCACCATGCGGCCTTCGAGCTCTGAGTACCTGCTGCCGACGCACTCATATGGACTGGCGTGGCAGCGCACGCGTGCAGGGTCACAGACCTGCGGGCAGGCTTTGAAGAGATTGCTGGCGACACGGCAAGAAAACCTCTCCGTCTCAACGGATAAATCTTGCGGAACTCCTGGGCAAAAACCTTGTGTGTGGACCAAGACGTTGAGGAAGCCACTCCCGGCCTTGGGGAAGTGGACCCATGTCCTTGAAAAAAACAAAAAACATGCTTGGGTCAGGCACGGTCAGCCCCAACACACTTCCTAGTTGTCGAAAATGGGCACTCTGAAACCATGCCACGGCTCAAGGGCAAAACCTCCGGATGGGTGCCAGAGCGAAGTCTCAGCCTCAGGGGATGCTGCTGAAGTCACGCACGCAACAACCATTTTCTGCTATAAGCGTTGTGAGCCTGCGTGCGAACGCGCTCGCATTCCTCTTGTGGCCTCTCCGCGACACTTCTCTGGACAGTGTTTCCCAGCCCGCGCCCCTTCCCCCCCCCCTCTCCGATCCCCCAAGCAAAAGCAAGGGGCTGTTGCCGACAAGCCACTGCTGCTGGAGCAGCTCCAAATGCTCCAGACCAGGTTCACTTGCGTCGCCAGTGTCGCACGCCCAGAGAGGCAGAACTGCCAGAAGGCCAGAGGCCAGGAGCCGAAGAACAGCCATGAACGCTGCTCACTTGTTCTCGGTTCGGTTTGATCCAGAGCTATGGCCATCTCTTCAGCTCAGGGCAGGGAGAACCACACGGGGAATGTGAGCACGCAGTGTCATGTGAGCGCGCAGTGTTATGCCGTCCCCTGTAGTCTTCATAAAGGGGATTGAAAAGATAATCAAGTGGAAATGGAGTGCAAAGTAAGTGAACAAGATAGAAAAAGGCCTGATCATCATCATCATCATCGTTTGTTCACCATTATCATTATCATCATAATGATCATCATCATCTTCAATTTCATCGTCATCATCATCACCACCATCATCATGTTCTTTCTTCATGTCCTTCATGCTCTTCATGTTCTTCATGTTCTTCATGTTCATCATGTTCATCATCATCATCATCATCCGAGCTCTTCAGGCACTTTGCCAAGAACCCCCAAGATTGTTCACGGTGCTAATGTTGTTCATTTGTTTCATGTTTTCAACTCTGGCTAAAAGAAGAAATGTTTGTCAATTTTGACCAAGGGGCCAAAATGTAAAAAAGAAATGTCCAAGACCACGTTTCTTTCAACGAAACAATATACAAAAGAAAAATGAAAAACATGAAAATAGTTGGGTCAGCATCATCGGGTTCGTCATGTGGTTCATCATCATGTTCATCATTTTCAACATCATTCTCATCATCATGTTCATCATCATGTTCGCGATCATGTTTATAGATCTTCCCGTCGTTTTGCAGGGGACCCCCCTGGATTTGTAATTCAAAGTAGAAATGAAAAACCAAAATCTAAGATCGCGATTTGTTCATACTTCTCATGTTGTTTTATTTTCGGTCAAACGACGAAGAAAACAAGCGCGCGATTCTTGTTTTCTTTTTTCAGTGAGAGAAAAAACAGAGGGTCTCTGCCTCTGTCTCTGTCTCTCTCTGTCTCTCTCTCTCTCTCCGTCTCTCTCTCTCTCTCTCTCTCTCTCTCTTTCGTTAAATTCTGACTGTTGTACACTACAAGCGCTAGCGCTGTAATTTTGTTAACACGAACAAACCTGTAGTCTGCACAGCCCCTATTTTGCATGGGCTCTTGATGTAGTGAAAGCTCGCGCGCAAGCTATGTAGTACAACACCGTCAATATTGACAGCATATCCATGCCACTGTAGTGAAAAGAAAACAGATGTCGCTGTTCCGGGTTCTGTTTCTGGTGTAGTCGGACTGAACGGAGTTCGTGAGGTAGCATCTGATGTTGTAGTCCACCATGTAGTTTCATGCGTGGTTGCGCCAGTAGTCCTGTTGGGACTGGCACCGTGGCGGGCTCGCTCGTGTAGTTCAAAATTTCCTTACCTGAGCCCCGTGTTCTAGTCCTTGACTGGGTTGACAGGCATTGCGATGCGCAGCAGTAGTAGTTGGGAGCGAAGTGCATCTGAGCCGTTGTCGTGGTGTAGGCTGTCGAGGTGGAGTAGCTGCTGGGTGTTGAGTAGTAGCGATAGTCCCAAATGTAGCGGTTGGACAGGGTGTAGTGAAGGGTGAAGTCGTTGAAGTTGCAGTTGACTAGCGAAGCTCCCTGGTAGTAGTTCAAGCGAAGGGTTGAATCGAAGTTGAGTGACTAGTGGAGTCTCGGACAAAATAGTCCAGTGAGTTGTCTTTGAGTAGTTGTTGGACGTAGTCTGTGGGAAGTGAGATTGTAACAAGGATGTAGTCGTTGATGTGGTTGGTGGAGGTGTGTAGTTCGGTCAAGCTGGCTACAAATGGGCATCTGCAGCTGAGTGCACCATCTGTAGTCGGTTGCGCGCTGGCTTGTGAAGTTTGCTCGGTAGTGAGTGTCGTGGTAGGAAGGGTGTAGCTGGTTCTGCAGCCTGTGTTGTAGAAAAGGTTGACTGTAGTGAGCAGTAGTTCTCAACTGTCACGGGAATGTAGAACTTGGTAGTGCGGGCATGGCCCGTAGTAGGATGGTGTGGTTGATGCGTAGGCTGAAGTCGCTGGAGTTGATAGATGTCCTGGAGGCGCGCGTTGTGTGGCAGTGGTGCAGCGGTCTGTAGTCGTAAGTCGTGGCGCGCCTGTAGTTGGGCGTAGTTGCAAATTGGTAGTTGGACAGGTGTAGTCATCTCAGGTGAAGACAACACGCCAGCCTCGTCCTCAGCGATTGCAGTTGCGAAGCGGTCCATGGCTGTAGTCCTAAAAACGAAGTGAAACTGGGCAGCCTAAAATGAGCCTGCAGTCGCTAACAGGAAGCGGGCGGACACGCAAAACAAACAAACAAACAACAAACAAACAAACAAACAAACAAGCAAACAAGCAAACAAACAAACAAACAAAACAAAACAACACAAACAAACATGTCGCGTTGACTGAAGTCGCCAAGCACGCAGCCAAAAGTGCGAGTGACAAACGCGTATCCCAATGCTCTGAATGAGCCGGCGCAGCATTTCCTTCCTGATGTATTTAGTGAACAAATCTGTGCTGTTGTGAAGTGTGTTGATCTTGAGGGCTCTGACGGTGTCGTGTTTGATGAGGTCTTGTGTGTAGAGGAACTTGAGGTCGATGTGTTTTGCTCGTTTGCTTGCGCCTTGTCGTGTAGCAATGCTTTTTCCTGCTGTGGAGTCTGTGTGAATGCGTAGGTTTAGCCTGCTGCAAATGTTTGCACGCTTGTTTCGAGTAGGAAGTTTCCGAGCCTCATCAACTCCTGCGCAAATTGCGTAGAGCTCAGATTCTGCTGAACTGCTGAACTGAATGCTGTTGTAGCTTGTGTTCTGCTGCCAAACGCAACTGTTGCGCCAAGAAAGATGATGTTGAAACCTGAAGTTGACTTCCTGGTAGTAGAAGCTATGTAGTACAACACCATCAATATTGACAGCTTATCCATGCTACTGTAGTGAAAAGAAAGCAGATGTCGCTGTTCCGGGTTCTGTTTCTGGTGTAGTCGGACTGAACGGAGTTCGTGAGGTAGCATCTGATGTTGTAGTCCACCATGTAGTTTCATGCGTGGTTGCGCCAGTAGTCCTGTTGGGACTGGCACCGTGGCGGGCTTGCTCGTGTGGTTCAAGATTTCCTTACCTGAGCCCCGTGTTCTAGTACTTGACTGGGTTGACAGGCATTGCGATGCGCAGCAGTAGTAGTTGGGAGCGAAGTGCATCTGAGCCGTTGTCGTGGTGTAGGCTGTCGAGGTGGAGTAGCTGCTGGGTGTTGAGTAGTAGCGATAGTCTCAAATGTAGCCGTTGGACAGGGTGTAGTGAAGGGTGAAGTCGTTGAAGTTGCAGTTGACTAGCGAAGCTCTCTGGTAGTACAAGGATGTAGTCGTTGATGTGGTTGGTGGAGGTGTGTAGTTCGGTCAAGCTGGCTACAAATGGGCATCTGCAGCTGAGTGCACCATCTGTAGTCGGTTGCGCGTTGGCTTGTGAAGTTTGCTCGGTAGTGAGTGTCGTGGTAGGAAGGGTGTAGCTGGTTCTGCAGCCTGTGTTGTAGAAAAGGTTGACTGTAGTGAGCAGTAGTTCTCAACTGTCACGGGAATGTAGAACTTGGTAGTGCGGGCATGGCCCGTAGTAGGATGGTGTGGTTGATGCGTAGGCTGAAGTCGCTGGAGTTGATAGATGTCCTGGAGGCGCGCGTTGTGTGGCAGTGGTGCAGCGGCCTGTAGTCGTAAGTCGTGGCGCGCCTGTAGTTGGGCGTAGTTGCAAATTGGTAGTTGGACAGGTGTAGTCATCTCAGGTGAAGACAACACGCCAGCCTCGTCCTCAGCGATTGTAGTTGCGAAGCGGTCCATGGCTGTAGTCCTAAAAACGAAGTGAAACTGGGGAGCCTAAACTGAGCCTGTAGTCGCTAACAGGCAGCGGGCAGACACGCAAAACAAACAAACAAACAAGCAAGCAAGCAAGCAAGCAAACAAACAAACAAACAAAACAAAACAAAACAAAGCAAACAAACATGTCGCGTTGACTGAAGTCGCCAAGCACGCCGCCACAAGTGCAAGTGACAAACGCGTATCCCAATGCTCTGAACGAGCCGGCACTGTTTCCTTCCTGATGTATTTAGTGAACAAATCTGTGCTGTTGTGAAGTGTGTTGATCTTGAGGGTTCTGACGGTGTCGTGTTTGATGAGGTCTTGTGTGTACAGGAACTTGAGGTCGATGCGTTTTGCTCGTTTGCTTGCGCCTTGTCGTGTAGCAATGCTTTTTCCTGCTGTGGAGTCTGTGTGAATGCGTAGGTTTAGCTTGCTGTAAATGTTTGAACGCTTGTTTCGAGTAGGAAGTTTCTGAGGTGTGGTCCCTCATCAACTCCTGCGCAAATTGCGTAGAGCTCAGATTCTGCTGAACTGCTGAACTGAATGCTGTTGTAGCTTGTGTTCTGCTGCCAAACGCAACTGTTGCGCCAAGAAAGATGATGTTGAAACCTGAAGTTGACTTCCTGGTGGTAGGGCATCCTGCCCAGTCAGCATCGACATGAACGTCGAGATCCAGGATGTTGTTGGCGTTTGCTCTTGGTGTTGTTGTTGCTTCTATGGTGAATTTGTAGCGCTTGGTGTTGCGCAGGTAGCGTAGTAGGCGCTTGACTCTCTTTTGTGAAAGTTCTGTAGGCGCTGTGAGGTCTCGCGCAAATGTCTGGTCTGGTGTACGCTAACCATTGAAGTGAACCAACAACTCTTCTGTACCTTTTGTGTTGTTCGTGGTTGAGTAGCGCTTCATCCTCTATTGTTGGTTTGTAGTGGGCGATTCCTGGAGCGGTCACCGTGTTGTTGATGTAGGAGTCCTGAAGTCCAAGAGTGCAGTGTTGCCGAAGCCCTCGATGTTTCTTCCCAAGAACTGTTGTGGCTGTAATCCTGCCACGCTTTAGGTGAGCTGCGTAGTCCATACATGGCTTTCTGTAGCCGCCATAGTTTGTTCTGTGGTGGGCAAAGTTCTTTAGGGGCGAGAGGTAGACGTAGTGTTTACCGTCGTGGTCTTTTGCGATGGGTGCGTGTAGACATGCTGTAGAGACGTCGCCTAGTCGCGCGAGCCAGTTTGGTCGCGACATCCGTAGCGCGAGAAGTGTCCGTAGCGTCGTGAACATCGGTGTAGAGGCGTAGACGGA